AAAGACCTGGTGAGGAAAAACCTCCTACGAAGCGGCCGTGCGTGTAGTGGCTAGAGTAGAAAACCGGGAAGTGATTCCCTGGAGAAGAATGGAGCCCAGAAGTTGGGTCTTACATTATTCATCCATCTCTGCCACCGCATCTTTGGGGTAACCGACTGAAGTGGTCAGACAATGAGAGGATTTTCTTACAAAAGAGTAAGAAATGCACATCAGTATAAAACTAGTCATATTCCCCACCCTGCTGGAGATTGCTAGGTTTTTGTGAAGTAAAGCTGTCTGCATTTTGGCTATTTCTGTTGGGTACACCTTTCTTTTCCATCACCTTACCCTGTTTATCTGCTGAAGTTTACATTTGGGACATACAGGCCAAACTATCACGCTTTTGGTCTGCTGTCTTCTGTACTTAGGCAGGGTTGTTTTTGTTTTAACCTGCTCAGTTAGAGATTCTTACAGCTGTGACGTTATTAATTGTGCACTGCCACTTCTGTCCCTCCATTCATTGTGCACGAGCAGTGCTGTCCCAGTTGAATAGACTGCACGTTTGTATAAAATGAAGCAGTTTCATTTTTGCAGGTCCTTAGCTCTCACAAACGATGCTAACACAATCATTCTTGTCTTCTATTAAAGTAAATCCCTAGACAAATCAAAACCCAACCCAAAGAAATCCCAGTTCTCTGAATGGGCAGTTTCTTGTCAGGTATATTCTGCAGAAACCCAGTATTAATGTTACTAGAACAACACTTAGCGCAGTATTTGAAGAGCAATAATGTTAAGGTACTTGGGTTAAATGTAGCCTCACATGCTGAACCAAGATGCAGAAATCATATCATATGAAGGACTAATAAAGAGAAATAGATATTCACACCTTAGGTTGTGTATCAAACACAAGAAAGTTTTCTCCTGCTGTTTTTAAGCACCATCTCCTTAAGCATTTACATTTTAAATCTTGCTACAAAAGAGCTATGTAGACTGCACTTTTCCGTCCGTGTAGATACTCATTGCTTCAGAGTGTAGATAGAAGAATTGTCCAAATAGCAAGATTCTCTTTTTTTGGCTGGAAAACAGTAAATGAATATTAGATGAGTGTTTGTAATATCCTGTACTTAAGTTTTAAGCATCAGCTATTGTTCAGGGCTAGACAGCTCTGTAACATAGCAGGAAAAGAGCTTAATGAAATCCAATATTTGGAAGCAGGAGGTAGATGAATTCAGACTTAGAACGGCAGTGCTAAATTTTAACAGGAAGGATAACTAACATTTGGAGTAACTTCTGTGGGTGTATGGCTTTATTTATCACTTGAAGTCTTGAATGTGAACCCTTATGTTTTCTAAAGGATATACTGTGTTTCAGGCAAGTTATGGAAATTGCTGGTTGAATTTCATAGTTTGTGAAAGGTGGGAAATAGGCCTAATGTCCCAGGCCTGGGATCCTGTAAGATAGGTCAGATGCGTTGCTGTGTTTGTTAGCTACGAGGTGTACTTCCACTGTGCATTAAGAATAAACGCCTTCACAAATGGCTTGTGGAAATAAGTTTGATCTTTTGGGCAGAGGGAGGAGAAATTATTTGCTTTGCAAGCTCTTGGTAAGGCAGGGATCTGAACCCATGTTGTCTTTTCATCATTATTCTAATACAGTTAAGTTAAGCATACATTGCATTGTTAAGGTTTGGTGAGACCCCATATAAGAGATGTGTTAAAGCCCAGCCTTTGCTCTGCTGGACTCAGAGAGTTTTGTTTTTTCGTCTCCTACTGGGAATAACCGTTGTTAGAGCAGAGAAAGGTAGAAAAATTGCCGCTCCGTGTTTATTCCTTGTGCATTTAGGTACCAGGTTGTTCCCTGCAAGTACCAAATCGACTCTGCCACTGATCCCTGGAACGAGAGTCAAATGCCTACACTGTGTCAAAGGCCACCAGGCGATGAAGAAAGATTTAAAAAGGGGCTCTATTTGGGGATGGGGCGGGGGGGGCTCTTTTCAAGTCACAGGTTGTGCTGTTTTTTGGTGCCGCCTGCAACGGGACAGGTCTGGTGCCGCCTGCAACGGGACAGGTGATCCTGCAGGAACGGGATCCGTGATCCTCCAAGACCCGCGGCAGGAAACCCGCCCAGCCTGACCTTTCACTGCTCTCGGTTATGGCGGCTGGCTGCCGTGGGCTGGTGCTCCCGGGGCGGGAGCGTGCTTTCTCTCTGTGAGTTGTGCTTGAGTTTGCCTGTTTTGTTGCCGTGGAGACAGAAGAGTGTGGTATGCTTTCCCCCTGACCAGAAATAGTTTCCTGTACCTTGTGACTGGAGCGCTGTACTCTTCCTCTGGTCTCTGGCCAGGCTGTGTGGTGCTGGAGGGATGGGGTGTGGGGTGATGACCTCTTGTCACAAGTTCTGGTGTGGCTGCTGCCCATGATCACTAGCTGCTCTGCCCGCTCCCCTCCCTCTGCACGACGGTGTAGGATTTCAGGGGAGCAATTGCTCTTGATTTACATCTCCCATGGCATTTTGATGGTTATGTCATTTTGTTTGAGCCTTGCTCCTGTCAGCTGTCCTGGCTGTCAGGATTCAGTGGCTGAGTAGCACGTGGTGAGCTCTTACCTCTCCTTCCCCCTTTGCTCAGCTGTTTTTACTGTCTGCTTCCCTGTGTCCTTGTACTTGGGAACAGATTCTCAGCAAGTGTAACTGTGCACGAGGGCAACATGATCCGGGTGGATGAAGGATCCCCTTCTGTAGGGGTTCCAAGTAGAGCTGGGAGGGTAAGTGGGGAATTTGCAAGACCCAGGCGTGCAAGCGGGCTATGGATAGTTTATCTTAAACTGTTGTTCTGCTGTGAGAATCTGGCCCGAGTGCAGAGTATGCAGCACAGTCTATTACCTTGCAACTGTGTTTTGCAAAACTTCATTTGTGAGAGATGCAGCTAAAAGGGAAGCCAAGGCACCCCCACCCCTCCCCAGCAATGCAGGTGAGAAAGCGCTTGCACTGCACCAAGGCCTTGGGAGCATGGAAGCTCTCCAGGCTTTCTTGCTGCCTGCTACTTTATTGGAGAGTGGTTCTGGCATAGAACTGTATATGCAACAACAACAATAATTTCCAGGACTGAGAAGGAAGGAGAGATGAAAGGAGTAATTTACCTTCCCCCATCCCTGAACAGTTGCAGATGAGGATGTAAGCACATCTCAGCCCTATAAAATATTAATTGGGACATTTTCTACAGTTCAGCAGTGGGGAAAAAAGACAGAAATCCTGCAGTGCCCTGAGCTGCTATTCCCAGCCTGGGAGAGAAAAGTGTTCTGAGCTGAGATCTGGTTCGATCTCAGCCTTCTGCTCACGGGGAAGAGAACAGTTGCCCAAAGCCTTCCTTTACAAAGGGAAGACAACACCTAACAACACGGTGGACAAATCCATGCACAGAGCAGACTTCATGGTGCACTGAACAAGTCACGATCCTACTCTTGTAGGAGAACACAGGAATGCCAGAGAAGAGTGTTCAAAACTATGAATGAGGATTTTTATCAAATTTTGCATCATTATTGCTTTGGGAGGCCTAGGACAGGAAAGGTCATGTTCAATGCTGTGCCGAACTTCACATCTGCACATCTCCATCCTTTGCAAAGGGAAGGGAAGACCATGCAGAGGGCCATGGAGCTGTGCAGGCTGTTCTCAGGCAGAGCAGTGCAGTGTGGCTTTGTTGAAGTGGGTCTCTAGTGGGTTTCCTATAAATTGGAGGATGCTGCATTCCTACCAGTGATCTGCTGAGTAGCCCAACCAGCCCAAGGGTCCTGCTTACTCCTGAGGAGAAGACTTGTGTGTCACAGGGGATGCAGAGAAGGTGTGTTTTCAAGCCTGCGTGCTGAAGATCTGCTGCAGAAGAAATGTCAGGAGCAGGCAGGGACTGCTGCTTCCCCTTGCTATGTTCTTTAAGCAGGACTGCTGCTTCCCCTTGCTATGTTCTTTTGATGGCTGGACTGGGGAGGAAGGGCAGTCCTTGCTTCTTGCCTCTTTCTAGGCATCTGCAACCCCAAAAGTCTAGAGTTTAGCAGCTGCCAGGGCTGCCTAGAAGATTTGCCTCCCTCAGATCCTTTCAGTGAATTTGTGCTTGTCCAATGTGAGCATTTCACTTGAGACGATGGGGGCTTTGTAGTGAAAGTTCAGGACTCAGATCACTGCTGTAGTGAAATATCTCCTGTCTGAGCCTCAGTGGCTAAAAGGCTCCCTGCTTCTTGGCTGAGATGAGCAGAGTTGCTCTAGCTCCCTCTCCTTTCCTTGCACTCACGCATGTTACGTTTCTAGGGAGGAGAAACCATTTTTTACTCTCCTTGATGTTTTTTCCTCTAATCCAGATGACAGTCGTGCTCGAACTGATGTTGCCTTTGGGCTGAAATAAGCATACTTAGCATTTGGGCAGAACTTCTTGCCTGGAGATCTTGAAATGCTTGATCAGCATTTCACCAGCAAGTCCGTCCATGGGTACTGAAGTATGGTTACCTTTACGGTTCACTGGAACTGGCAGAGTTCCCTACTTCATGTGATGGCTGTGCACTAGGAGGAGCTCTGTGTTTCTCCCTCCTACTCCGCCCTTCTTCCCCAGTGTTTCTCTGGAGTGGAAGCAGGTCCTTTTCCCATTTCGTGTGAGCTATTTCTTCAGAGACTTTTCCTCCTCCTCTCCAGCCTTGGAGAAGGGGGCGAGTCTCAGAAGGGATGTCACTGGAAGTGGCTTTGCATATTTGTGAGGCTGACGGAAGAGCGGTGTCTTTGACTCTGCTGCTACTCACTTTGAATCCAAGGAGGGAATGTCAGTTTAGTGTTAGCTCTGTAGTGGGAGCGGAGGTCCTCCTGCAGCCTCGGCTGCATAGCCCTCGCCTGAAACGGCTGTGAGGTTTTGGGAGACAATCGTGTTCCAGCAGTTCCCAGCCCTCTGGATGTCTGCTGGGTCACTGTGTTCCTTTCTCCGTTGAATATGAACAAGAGCTTAGTTCAGAGTTGTGGTGCTTAACACATTGTTTCTTATTCTCTTTCAGATCACCAGAAACTGGAACGTGAAGCTCGAATCTGCCGACTTCTAAAGCATCCAAATATTGGTAAACATCCTTGGGCTCAGAGGGATGGGGGTGAGAGAGGAGTAAAGTGTCTCATCTAGTGCGCTGTAAGAGAGCAGATGTATTCTGAGTGTTCACACAACTCGTGAAACTTGCCTGTTGAAATCACCTCAGTTTCTCTCTTTGACAAATTCTGCATTTGACCCTGTCCTATTCCTTAGCATCATGGCCCAGATGTTCACCAAAGTGTGCTGTGTTCCCGTCTGCTCGCCCGTGCAGAGCTGTCCCTGCTCCTTGGGTGATGCATGACTCTTGCCTGCTCATATGACATTCTGCAATGGGAGTGACCTGTTGTTTGTTTTCCCCACACCTGTCTTCTATTTCCTCTTCTTGGCTCTTTCTGACGTATCCATTTAAATGCTGTATTCAGTGACACGCCCAAAGTTAAAGGAGTTAAAGGGGCTAATATGTCAGCTCTTCTCGTTACAGTGGCTGCTTACTCAAAAAACAAGAGGTGGGCTAATATGTCAGCTCTTCTCCTTACAGTGGCTGCTTACTCAAAAAACAAGAAACCAAAACCAAATTGCCCATTTTGGCAGTGGTCAAAAAAAAAAAAAAAAGTAATGGAGTAAAGGGAATAGTTTTGTCTAGAAATACAGGAAGAGGCAAAATAAGGCACAACTTCAAACCAAAACGGTATTATTTACTGAACTGTGGAGAGAGGGCATGGATTTTTATGTAGTTCCAAAGCACCATGGAATTTTGTCCTAAGTTTTCTTTTAGACAAATTTCACATTGCTGGAAGTTGCTTTGAGCAAAAAATTTGGACCATTAATAATCCCCTTTTGGGGACCTTTAAATAAATAAAGCCTCAAGGATCCTAGCTAAGGTCTAATTTGAGTTAATTTATTTAAGAAAACATTAAGAAATACCAAACTGCCACCTTCAACCGAACCACTGTTAAATATCCCTGTCTGGGAAACCTGTGATGCATTACATCGTCTTTCTTTTGCATAACCCTATCTGTCAGTGTAGCTAACGTTTAAGGGCATCTGTCTGGTCTTCTGACTTTCAGCTTTGTAATCATTTGCTCCTGTCCTCTGAAGACCTGGGAGAGGGAAGCTGCCTTACAGCATACCCCATGGACTAGTATCTGTAGCCTGTTCTGTATGTGATGAAGAAGCAATTTCCACAAGCTCGGGACCTCACAAAATGCCAAGCACCTTAGTAGCAGCTTTTCAGCAGAAAGAGCTTTGTTGCATCTGAGTGTAGTTGTGGAGGTATGGCATGAGGAGAGGAGCAGTGGCCACCTTCTACAGTAATTTGCATTGATGAATATATTGGCCAGTGAATTTATTGCTTGGCAATATTCAGAATGACTAAAACTCATATTAGTCTAGTTATCAAGCTTCATTTGCCCCGTAAGACTTGTTGCACTTAGTTTAGTAGGTGATGTAACTTTTTCATTTTGGCCTTAACTTCACTTTCATCATCTCTCCTGTTTTATCATGGGCATCTTTTCTTGCCCGGCTTCTCACAGAGTAAATCCTATACACAAGAGGAAAACCACTTTTATAAGTAAACTGCACCGAAAACAGAAACATATCGCGTTCCTGGTGCAATTCTACAGCTTGTTCCTCATTTGTAATGGGCGGCAATGCCTGTCTCCTGTTGTATTGTGGTTTGGAAAAGACAGTTTGGGGGAACGTCAGTGGTTCTTGCATTTTCGACAGAGCATTTCTTGTCTTCCTAGAAAGAACAGTTTTTCTTTTAAGATAAAGAGACCAGTCATTCTAAACTCAACGGGTGGTCACAAATAGCAATAAAGGAATTAAGTTTTATGCCTACAACACAAAATCAAAGTGTGTTGAATAAGACCTCGGGAAGTCATGTGGTCCATTCAGCAGTCCTGTGAAAACCTTTTATACCTGGCTGGTTCCAGGCATGTTTGTTCTTAAAAACCTTTAATGCTTCCACAGCCCCTAGTGGCAATCTTTCAAATGTTTATTTTTCTGTCAGTTAGACATTAGAAAAAACATACTTTGCTGCTATCTTAGCTCGTTGTTTCTAGTTCTATCCAAAGTATATGTGGAAAGTAGTTTTTCTTTCTTGTAACAATCTTTTACATATTTGAAGACTGTTATCATGTCTCTTTTCAGTCGTCTTTTTCTTCAGACTAAACAAACCCAGTTCTTTCAATCTTTTCTCATATGTCATGTTTTCTAGACCTCCAGTCTTTTTTTTTTCTTTTTTTTTCTCTTTTTTTTTTTTTTCTTTCCCTTCCCTGGACTCTCTCCAGTTGCTTCATATCTTTCTAGAAATGTGATGCCCAAAACTGGACATTCTAACTAAGGCCATGTCAGTGCTGACTAGAGGGGGAAGAATTGCTTCACCTGTCCTACCAAAGATACTCTTGATTTGCACATCAGCCTGTGAAATTTGCCATTTAAATATATTGTTGATGCACATTTGTTTTCTGACACGTTATTGCTCCAGACTGCTTTCTGCAGAACTTCTAGCAAGCAAGTAATTTTTCCGTCTTGCATAGATGAGGGTTCCTATCGAAGCGTACATTGCATTTGTCCATATTAAAATATATAGGAAGAAATCCGCTCTGTGGGTTCCCCCCCAGATTTGCCAAGACCATTTTGATTTATCTTCTGATAGTATAACAGGGTTGCAACTCCCCCCACAGTAACGTGATCTTTAATAACAATGCCATATATTGCATTATGTAGATAATTAATAACACTGTTGAATACTGTTGGACTCTGGACAAACTCTTGAAGATATCACTTCATACATTGTTCCAGTTTGACAGTGATCAATTTTGAGTATGTTTTTTCAATGAGTTGTGTACACCATTATAAGCTAGTTCTGAATACACATTTTTTCTAAATTGCTTATGGAAATAGCACATAAGATGCTGTCAGAAGCCTTGCTGAAGTCCAGATGCTACATGCGTTGCTGCTTCCATATTCCTTGGACTTGTTAGTTGTCACAGAAGGGAAACATGTTGTTCTCACATAGCACTAGGTTTTTTTTCCTTGAAATGTGTTATTAGCAGTTAATAATCACATAGTTACTGCCATTCTATGTTGTAAACTCTTCTGGATGAATACTTGGTGTGTTGCCTCAGTGTGAGCTATGCTAGTAACACCGCACCAATCCTAAAGAATTCTGCAGATTTTGGGCTTGCTTTAATTTCCCCATTAAGTTTTGTTGTTACTGTTTTTGTGGCAAACTGCATTGCAGCATGTCCTGCTCTTCTACAGTGACCTGAGCCTCTAGTGAGTCCGGGGCAGAGGATTGTTAGGACTCTGCGAGGTTGGCTGGTTTTCTCTCCTGCCTTTACACAGGAAAGCAAACCTATTGTTGAATTTGTGGTTGTTACCCATTTCCTGCAAGACAGTTGATTCCTCTGTGGAGGTTCTGGACTGCAACACACTGACCATAAAGCTGCTACTCTGATAAAATAAAGGTTACTCTAGGTACAAAATAATGGTGATATTTCCATTTTCTGTTGCTCTTTGTGAAATGACCACTTTCTGAGTTATCCTGACATGCCTTCGTCAAATCGCAGCCCTAATTATAGGCTATTGCTCTGTAATTGGGTGTTTTGCTTGTCTTTAGATGCACATTATGGCCAAGGTAATCACAGTGGAGTAATCCTTCTAAGAGCTTAGTGTTGCAGTAAGTTTTTTTTTGTCTGGACAGAAGAAAGTTGACTTGAGGCAATTTTCTGATTTCCGACTCATGGTATGTACCGTGTTCTCATTGCGAACCATCCATTTGAATGTGCCATTATAGCTGGTCACCTCAGACTTTAGTTCAGTAGAGGAAGGACTTCTTTCCCTAACTTTCAACTTGTTTTTCTTCCTCCTGATGACTGTCTAGAGTATTTTGCATTCTGGTCCAGAGAAACCATTTGCCAGCCATGCTCACCAAATACAGCAGAACTGGGCGGAGATCAATCAGTGATCTGTTCACTCCATCCTGTTTTAAAGGCAAAAAAGATGCACCCTTTTTACTGAGGATGTGGGAGTGTTAAAGAGAGGCAGAAGGCAACAACATTAAAACCACACTGTCCATAAGCAGATAAAATGCCTGTGGAAGTTGGCAAGAGTCACGGCTCTATGGGGAATTCCACTTCTTCTTGAACAACTTACTGTTCCAGTGATTCACTTATCTATAAATCTTGTGGGCATTTGACATGAATGTATTTGGGAACACGCAGAAGAGAAGGATATGGCTCTCTTCTCCCTTGGTCCTTGCTTTGCAGGAAAGCAGCATGTTTCCATAAGCACGCTCATAGCCCTGACCCTTCATTTGCAGACACTTTCCTGATTGTGCCACTGAAGCTTGTGCAATGGCTGAGATAAAATAAACGTCACCATTGCCTTCTGTTTGTTGTAGAGCTAAACTTAAAATGTGTTGAATATCAACTCTTGCTTACTGGAACAACTCTTTTGGTCTTCTGCTTAGTTGTAAACTTGATTTCAGTGAGTCTGTGTATTTGATTTTTAAGTCCTGTAATTAATTCACTACATAGTGATTCTCTTGTGGAGAGAATGTTCCCATGCTTCCTGCTACCCATCAAATGCTAGAGCAGTGACAGAGTTGGGAACCCCAGTATCTTCCCACAGGCTTGTTCAAGGCAGGTGTGAAGTTCAGCTTCAGCACAGTGCTGAACATGACCTTTCCTGTCCTAGGACTCCCAAAGCAATAATGATGCAAAATTTGATACAGTTCCTCATTTGTAGTTTTGAACACTCTTCTCTGGCCTTCCTATGTTCTCCTACAAGAGCAGGATTGGTGCGTGTTCAGTGCACCATGAAGTCTGCTCTGTGCATGGATTTTGTCCGCCGTGTTGTTAGGTGTTGCCCTTCTTCTACATTTTCTTTGTTATGCCAGTCTAAATATGTGCCTCCTCTTTGGATCTGTCACCAAATGATCTGTAGTCTTTCTTAGATATTTTTAACCCAACTGTACAAAAATAGTTCTTGAATATCTTTTGTTCATAGCTCAAACTGAGCACTTCT